TAACAGATGACACATTCTTGGAAATCAAATAAAAGCAATAGGGAAATACCCATTGTTGCCTGGTGAAGGCCTAATCACATGGACACAGCTGGAACCAATGTAGATCATTCATTAATAAAATTGTATTGTAGTAGCCACTTTTTGATGCATTTCAAGTGCTGCTTTAGCCAAATCCCTAAATTTCTTTGTTCAATGTTAGTAAGATTGTTTTAATGGGAAATATGAGATTTAGGACAGGGGAAAAAAAAAACCTGTTCTCATGCTAAAAATGAAGCTAACTCAAAAAGCTAAATGTCACTTTACCTTGCAATCTACTTACACTATCAGCAGCTTAAAATATGCAGTGTAAACCTAAAAAGGAGGAACTCATATGGTACTATAGATAAAAAGTGAGCAGTGTGAGATGCCATAGAAAACACATGAAATACTTGTAAAAGTATTCTACAGAATAATACGTCAGAGGGTGGGAGAAATTAAAACGTATCAAAAATTAAGAGGAAATTAACATGTACCCTTTCATGCAATACTATCTATTGAATTTTGACACTAAAGTATGTACCGTATGCTTAAGGGAAGATTACTCATATTTAGACCACATAAACTTAAAAATCGCTATTTGTTATTACATTACCAATATTTGATATCAAACAAGACATTCAAACCATCTTCCCGACAGTCACGTTTGAAATCTATATTGACATTCAAATGAAATGAAGTACTAGTTATAATTATAAACTTAGTACTTAATATAGTAAAATCCTAGTTAAAATAATCAACAGTATTTATTCAATTTTGCTGTTACCTCTTAATAAATGTGTTTCTCCGTGTTTTTACAAATATAATGATTAAGTTACTATATTATGTTCCTTAAAAATATATAATGTCAAACTAAAAAGATAAAATAGCTTTGCTATGTGTTCTGAATTAAAACTATACAATTTATTGTCTATAAATTCTATTCTACAAAAATGAAAAACTCAACCGTATTTACCAAAAAACTGCTTAAACATTATGGCTCTTAAATATTTCTCCTATGCCTCTGTGTGTAGTTAGAATAAATAAATAAATAGAACAATTCACATTGTCCTAAATCACTGAAAGATATATTCTTACCACAGAAAAAATAAAGAGCTTCACTGCAAATAAAAATTAAACTACTGCAGAAAGTGTATTTAAAGTCACTGAATAGTGGTTAATATGCAATAAACATTATTCAGTATACATAGAATGAAAGAGGCTTGTGTGTGTATGTTATCTTTACTCGCTAATGTTAACATTATCAGACCTTGCCACAGGGGATTCAAGACAGTCATGAACTTAACTGGATCAAGTGAAAAAAGTTTCACTGGCATTCCTTCACAAAACTCTCAGAATTCAGAAGTTTAAAATGTTGACCGAAAGATTTAATTCATATAACTTAACAGGCATCCCACCCAGATTCATTTTAGTAGCTCTGCATTAAAAAAGCCACTTTGCAAGTTTAAAAAGATAGCATTGGGAGCAATGGGAAATTGTAGCATTTATTACATGTGTATTATGCATACAAAGCAATTGGAGTATTTGTTTGTTTTGCTAAAGTAGTGAACCAACATGTCGCTGAGCCTGTTCGGAATGAGAGAAAACAACAGGTGAGTTTATTTAATGCATACTGCTGATACACCTCTGTTTTATAAATCCTTTTAATAATTTTAAAGCGTTTTCTAAATTAAAAATAAATCCCCAGAAAAGAAACAACTGTTAGATTGCACAATTTTATCTTACAGTACCCATAATAGATATATTTCCCGGTATATATGGCATATAAAAAAGTTTCACATTAATAATTCAAACACGAGCCACTGTTTGCTTCCTTTTCAGTCACATTTGTTACACTGTTACAAAAATACATGAGTTTTTCTTCTCAAAGTAATTTTCTTATTGCCAAAAATCATTGACAATTTTTAAAATAAAGATCAGTCAAAATAATATCAATCTCCTCCTATAAAAACATATTCTGCCTATTAACTATTCTTATCTTGATTGCAAAACTAATTTTTAAAATAGATCACTTTAAAAAATCTAATTTTAAAAATAGATCACTAGAAAGTAAATCATTTGTTTTGCTTAATACAACAGAAAACATATTTACATTGTGAGGAACATTCTACGAAATTTCATAGAATGCTTGCTCATAGTGAAAATCTAGTCTCCTGCTCAAATCATCTCTATTTAAAACTCATTATGCCACATTTTCACACTCCTAATGGTAGGGCACTAACTATAATTTTGTGAGAATTGGTAAACTTAAAAACACTTCTGTGTTTTACGTTGCATTTTTTATTTCAAAGGAAAAATATTTTAAATGCACATCCCTTTATTTTAATGGAAGTTCACTTGCTTATCTACCAAGACTTATCAGACATTCTAAAAGTATGCAACTTGTAAAAGATATGAAACAATGGCAGACATTTGGTCTCAATAAGAGTATCTTGGCATAAAAATCCATATAATACAGGCAAATAATACTCAAAAGTTTCCATTCAAATAATAAATTCTGAAGCAGACAAGATTCCAACCAATCAAAAATACTGTGTCAACATGACCAAAGTTAGCAATAGTAGCAAAAATGCAACTGTAAAGAAAATACCTAAGAGAGTGGAAAAGGCAAATTTAGCACCAACTTCTATAAGGAACAAAGCCATTTACTAAATGTGGAAGTTGTAAGGGGAATGATATTTCCATTTCAGGAAAAAAATATTTCTTTTCACAATGGTGGTCTGTGTGAAGAAAGAGGAAGAGAAGAGGGGAAAAAACAGTGTAAGTGGGAAACACTAAGGCTGCCTGCCTTCCTTCGGTGATGCTGTGAGGGTAGACCCTCTGCCTTACAAAAACCACTGCCAGAACCAAGCTACACAAAACATTTTGGCTGCAAGCCTATAACAGTGCCAGGCTGTTTTTCATTTTTGTGCTAGACTCCCTCAATTGAGACAGTGTGGGATTGTCACTTTGATGCACATAGAGAACAAAGAATAATATAGTTTGGGGGGGATTTTCTTGCCCCTTTAAAGTCAGGTTAGCATTTTGTTTTCTTTGACAGGTCTTGAAAAGACCCAAGAAACAAAGTTATGCCGAAGAATGCATTAACTGCCTAACAAAATTAATGTCAAGTACAATACTGTCAACAGTTTAAAAGCCATGTGAGAGATTAACATTTTTTAAAAGCAGACTTAAAAAGGGTCCAAGTCATATAGTTACCTGTTTAAGAGGCCAGAGACCAAGAAATACATGATTCACAACCACATAATCTTATTTAAAATCTGATGCCACGAAGGCAGACCATAAAATCCAGGCCAAAAAAAAAGTAGTATTATAATTTTTAGGTCACTATTCAGAGACAACTGTGTCAGCTGCTATTCTGACCTTGAATTCTCTAAAATTAAATAATGTGATGAAAAGACTATAACATTAGAATCTGAATACTTTAAGCCTTCACAGAGAAAGAAGTGATAAGTGATCAAAAATGTTTAAAGAATTAAACCACAAATCATCGAAAAAGTTGCCACAGACACAAACAGGAAAACCGTCTCTTCAATCCTATTCAATTCTGTACTAGAAGTGAAGCTAACACAAATGAGAAAGCCGAGTATGTGCTGCTGTAACCTTCAACTAAATATATTATCTGAATCTGGTGACTAAAAGACACCAATAAGCCATTAGCTCCTAGATGTATCACCTTTTATCTTTCTAATGCACAAGATAAGTAAAGGTAGAGGTCCATTTTCTACAAACCAAATGAAAAGAAAGAATGAACTGTGACAAGCTCAGATCCCATGCTGGCATATTTTACACTAAGCTCAGCATCATCTAGAAGCAGTATGCTTCTCCCTGCCAATCAGAGGGGAAAAAAGTTGTGCTACTAATACAGTGTTGATAAACAGCATCAAACATCTACTAGTTCTTTCCTCCTGCACATTGCCATTGAATCAGCTGTTAAAAGAAGACCAATAGCTGTTACAGAAATAGCAAGAACTAAAGCACTTGCCTCAGATGTTATACATGGAGACATGGAGCATTTACCACCTGAGCCTATCTAATTTCCGGCAAAATGATCCCCTGCCCAGTTTTGTTCATGGCCACAGAATCTGATAACAAGTCACGATCCGTGTTGAGAAAGGCAGTGGGGGAGTGAGAACATGGGGAAGGAATCAAGCGAGAACAGTGGGCAAACTTCAAACTATATACACGCTTCTCTTATTATTCAAATTAGTGCCCATGCACAGCGCTTCAGGATGACAAAAGCTGTATTAAAGGGCTCAGGTACAATGATTTACTTTGGGTGGTAAGGGTAAGTCTGCCATGTAATTAAAGAATGCATTATTTTGCTCCTCACTGCTCGCCTTTTACATTTCTTTTTTCTCTAGGACATACTGATGATGGCATTACTGCATGGGACACTGATAGTTGCAGGCAAGGCATTCATGTAGTGCCAAAGTGGTCCAGAGAATGATGTCTGGCTGGCCTTAGTTCAACAAGGAATATGAGGCAAAAACAGAAAACAAAAAGAACGAAAGGTGTAGAAGAAGCCAGGCAATAGACTGTTTTTCTGTTTATTAATGGTACCATAAAACAAGGGGAAAATCTGGAAAAAGCAGCCAAGCTAACTCAATTACAAAGAAAGATTAAAGGAGTTAAATGTCTATAACTTGGCTGACAACCAAGGAACAATATGAGAGCTGTCCACAACTCTCCAAAGAATATACATAAAAAGAAAAGTAGAGAATTATTGTCTACTATAGATGTATGAATACATGAAATAATAATGAGATAAAAATAAAGAAATCTGACTTTAAGCAGCAGGGAAATAACCTGGTGAAACTTAAAAAAGGCTGCTTCCTTCTCTTTAGAAATATCAATCATCTTACTGACCCACACTGCAGTAAACGAGACATGATAGAAAATGCCCACATACTGCCAGAGGACTGAATTGATGGAGATATAAAAATGAAGTCCCATCTGCTTACCTGATTATCCAGATATACTGATGTCCCTTTACATATGTCCAATCTGGCTAATGCAGAGATACCTGTAAGATCACAAAAGACATAGTTAGTACCTTCAAAATAAACCCAGCCTGAATTCTCAATCCTGAGCTGGTCAAGAGCTAATTTGGATGATTTAGTCTGGCTCTTGGATATTCCAAGATGGGAGAAGAATGTGCAAGAACAGAAATGTTCTGAGTGATTCTAAGGTTATTCTTAATTAATAAGAGATTTTCAGTCTCTGCAGAGATTTTCCAAATCATTTGTAACTTAATAATAATAATTATTATTCAGATTAGGTCTTTAGCCTTGGTCATTGGATGGCCTTCAGGAATCTATGCTCTCCTGAATGATATATGTAAAATTGGTGGGTTTATGTAAATAAGTATCTCTGGGAGAAGGTCAATAGTTTGTCAGATTTGCCAAAAGGTCCATAGTCCAAAAAACTGTCAAGAACCTCTGCTGAGGCTTGCCTAACATCTCAGAGGCAGGTTGGAATGCATATGGATGAGCATTCCAGGTTTGGGGGATCCCCCCCCGGAAACACAGACACTTGCAGATCTGGGGTAAATACCTTAAGAATACTACTTTCTGGGAGAGCAATACATCAGGTTTAAACTGTTGCTTAACTCACAGAGCCCTGTGATCCCTGTAAGCCATGCACAGTCTTGAAGAGAACTAACACGTTACCATATATACCCAAGGGTGCCTATCATGACTTTTCCTGTTCTGTGTATATTAAAGTCAGGATTCCTAGGAATATCAATTCTGACAGGGCCAGAACTCACACTGTAACTCATCCAAAAAGGACCATTTATGACAAGAAAAAACAAGGTGTGATCAAATCAATAGGAAATGTGGCTCCAAAACAGTTTACATAAAAAATTACAGAATTAGCCAAACATATTCATTCTTTCTTTTCATTTGGTTTATAGAAAACGGACCTCTACCTTTACTTACCTTGTGCATTAGAAAATTACCTTTTGTGGTGTCCTGTTTCAAATAATAATCATGTATTGTATACTCTCAAAAAATAATGTATTTAGACAATCACCTTCCGGGCATCTACCATGCATTGCACTCAGTGCCGAGGACTCAGCAGTGAATAAGTCAACAAAGCCCTACTCTGCTGGAGCGTTACTTTGGGGAGTGGGAGAAGGATGCAGGGTGACAAACAAGTATATCAGCAACATCATTTCAATTTGTGATACATGATATGAAAAAATAAACACGAAGATGTGACCAAGGCACGAGAGAGCAGTCTATACCCACCCAGCATGTCACAGAAATCTTCACTACAATCTCAGAGTCTGTCAGGGTCTTAAAGAGTTGAGACGAGGAAATGACGTTAGAGACAGCTAGCCAGACCAGTGAATTTCAGAGACGAAGACAGAAGAGTTATTCTAGAAGATAGTATCACTACCTCATTATCTCTACACTTCAAAATACATATGCCTCGACTGAATGATAATGTTATGATACAAGCTCTGCTTGTAGAATATAAACCTGAGAACAAGTAAATGAACGGCATTTCGTTATCTCCTTAAAATCTGGCCGACAATACTGTACACTATGTACCCTTAATATAAAGAACCACATTCTATCCAAATTCTTGTCAAGTTTCATTCTATTAAAATAATTTCATTTTTTGCTTCTACAGATAAATCTGATCAACTTGTGCTACCAAAGAAAGGGGAAAAGAGGGTACAAGGAAGCCAGCCTCCAAGACAGCCCCCAATAATCCTCACCTCAAGGAACGCATGCCTTTGTGTACTCCCTTTGCTCATATCGGGGTTGGTCTGAGTGATCAACAGAATGCAGAGAAAGTGACAGTGTCTGTCCTAAAAGATATCAGAGCTTCCTCCTTACTCTCTTGGATCTTCCTGGGGGAGGCCAGCTGCCAGCTGCCATGTTGTGAGGACACTCAAGCCATCCTAGGGAAAGGTATACAAGGCATCTTGCCAAATAGCCAGAATCAACATAACAGCCACGTGAGAGAGCCATTTTCTAAGCAGATCCTCCAGGCTAGTCAAACTTTCAAATGAATGCCACTCTGGCTGACATCTTGATTGCAGCTCATGAAAGACCAAGAGCCAGAACTACCCAGCCTGCACTCCAATCCCTTTCTAGCATGCACTCTAACTTCCTGTATTCACAAAGTTCAAGCTGAAAACATTTCCCAGATGCTCTTGCATCATGCCTTTGGTTGAACCCAGGTTCAACCAAATCCATTCAAGATTTAGAAAGCAGAAATGAGCAAATCAAGGAAGTAGCCAACTACAAATGAGATCAAATTCTGTAGTGAAGGCATTTTGTTCTTCTGAAACAACCATGTATGTAGATATGTTACTAAATGATCCCTAGTCTCATAGGCTCTAAGTAGCAAATGGCAGTGGAGTTTCTACTAGAATAGTATCATGGGATGTTTCTCATGGCTTGTGCTGTTCCTTGCTATTCACAGTCAACTTTGGTTCCTTGGCACTTCTGCAAATTAAGTAGCATGTGATGCATCTCTGTATGCAACTCAAACTAGCTATTGTCTGCAACTAAGAACCCACTCTACATATGCAAATTCTCCTGTCTCATAACACTTTCATTCCTATCTCATGGTTGACACTCTTTTCCATTACTAAACCCTCTACCTATACTATGAGTCCTATTCATTTATGCTGTTTCTAGGAACTTGCACTATCCGTCTTCTCCTTTTCTTCTCCACTGGTTTCTTCTCCTTCATCAATAACAGTTCTTCCAACCCTACCAACTATCCCTGTGAAACTTCATAAAATAATAACATAAGCTCGTTGTTTTCACTTCAACTTCCATTCAATACTTGAATTACCATAACTTGGCTTCCTTAGCTATCACTCTACCAAAACCACTATTGCTAAGGCTGGCAAGAACCAATTAGCTATTCTCACTTCTCACTCTACTAGACTGTGGCACTGGCACTCCTACTCCTACATACCACACCTCTTTGAAGCTTTAATGATAACAAGATTACAAATCTCCAGCCTCAATGAAATAATCTAGCATCCCACCTTCATACATCATCATCACCCATGTCCTCTGCACCTCTACTACCAGAGACATACAACAAATAGGCATACAGAGACCATTTCAAATGCTAACGCTATTCAAAATATTCTATTTCTTAATGGCCTAACTGCTTAGACAACCAAAAAGACAGATATATGCACTGTTTAAAAAAAAAAAAAAAAAAAAAAAAACCACAGTGGATTCTATAAGCTATCGATATAGAAATGTATTTCACTATTTTTCAGTTATTTAAGGAAAAATAAATGTTTGAACGTCAGAGATTCCAAAACAGCAGTGCTACAAAACAAGTGTACCACTTCTTAAAACTAACTTCGCAAAGCTAAAAGTTTATTATTATTATTTGTTTAACACTTGCAAGCCAGAATATCTACAATTGCCAACCTAAGCTAGCATCCCCGAGCCCTCTAGTTTTGAATGTGAGGTTTACTATGACATCTGTCATCTCACTAACCAGAAGTGATGCTGCTGACTTGATAGGCGGGGGGTGGGAGGGGAGTTGACCCATTCCTTCCTCCCTGCTAAAGCTAAAATCTCTTAAAAGGCTGGCCTCCCAGAATGATGTGGACCAAGCTTCTTTGGTTAGGGGTGTACTCAGCCCGTTTCTTTAAATTGCTCAGAAGACAGAACTTTTCAGAAAACCCACAAAAAAAAGGCTTATTTTCATTAATTTGCTTTGTGTTGCCATCATTCATTGTCTTCATTTTTAATTCAGTGACATGTATAGCCAAATGAAATGAAGTACAGTCAGTTTTCCTCAATCTGTCTCAGTCTACTCTTCATCTTCTGGGACCCAATTCATGTGATCTTTTAACAACTATTTATTTCACACCAAACTAGTTATCTCCCCAAAGCCTACCAATCTAGCCTCTGGGCATATTTCCTAAATAAAAGCACTAGATCTCTGTAAACCTAAAATTTGCATACTAAAGGAACAAATCAGCTATCAAAAGGCCTAGTAGTATATAGCAGTTGCTCACCTCTAAGCAGAGTTTAAAATTCATTTCAATTTATTATTTTTTAAAGAAACAGCAACTGACTTTTTCCCTTTGCAAAATACAGTGTTTAATAGGCCTAGTTAAATTAGAGGTGATAGTGTAAAGCAAGTGTTTTAAATTGGTAAATTCTAAACCTTTTAATAAAAGTACATCAGTCAGAAGTTTTAATAAGACCCAGCAGGACAGAGAAGAATTAACGGTCTGTAGGAATCAAAAGGGGGTGATAGGCAATGATAACCTTAAACATTTGCATATGGATTTATAATTTCATTGCTTAAAGGTTAATGAAATTATGTGGTATTTTGCCCACTCTTATCCAGTAAATGATTTCATGCCTTGATTTGTATATACTTACCAACTGAATCATATAAAGAAAAACAGACTCCTTTATCAATTAATCTACGACATTTTACTTATACACTTCTGGGTGCACAATTATTATTACCTATTCTAACCAATAACTGGGTACCCTAAAACAAAATGTAAGGTTTCCAAAGCATCTCAGAAAGAAGAACAAACTCACAATCAGAACTCTGAAAGTATACTAAATTGTTAATGTGACTGCTTTTTTAAAAATTAGATATATTCCTTTATTTACTTTATACTTCAAGTCAACTATTGGAATTACTTGCTTTTGCCAAATATTAACATAAAATCCACCCTAGAGATTGATGAAGGCATTCAGGATACACTGAGGGTGAAGACGGAGAAATGCAAACAGTCCACAAAAACAAGAAGAACAGGTTAAAACAGTAAAAGGATTCCAGGTCGAAGCAATTGTTTTAAAACATAACAGCATAAAAACAACACAGTACTGAGGCCTTGCCTCACTGAGCATCCAGGAGGGTGCAGGATCAGCTGCTTCACTTAATACCCAGTTCTAAGAAAAAACTGCAAAGAGCCTCACTTAGGCAGAATGGTGCTTCCTATCCTGGCTGCACGTTAGAATTCCCTAGACAGCTTAAAACAAAAACCTAAAAATCCACACTTAGGC